CTAAATAGCAATACTTTGTTTGGACTCGTTTTATTTCAGAATGGCTTTTGGCCCTGCGAAAGAGAATCTAGTCAATCCAAATTAGCAAATCTGGAGATAAGAGGTCTGTTTGGGACTTAGTGCTACCAAATGCCCGTCTGGTATACATTTAGAACTGCCGACTGTGCAGACCGAATCGAAGCTATTCCAGAGATCTGACGCCCAAGATTCTATACAGGCAGTGGATTTAGCGAAATAATTAGCCTTAGTAGTCAGTTCTCGCTTGTGCCTGTGCGAATTGACATTGTCATGTTGGGATGGCAACGTGTAAACAGATTTGACCTCTGGGCGCCAGAATGAGTTCTTTCAAGGCCCATGCGCACAATCGGCCTGCACACTCAACACACACACACACACACATATATATATATATATATATATTCATTCATGGACGAACCTGCATTCTGACGTCTCAAACCGCATTTATATTCATACCCTAGGACTAAGAGAATACTTTTTACTTTGTGACTCCTCCTTGACTCAGCAACGTCTTGAAGGTCTGCTTCGACTTCAGCAAGAGCTGGAAGCCTTCCGTTTGGCCAACCAGGCAGCTGAGCACTGGATTCTGGGCGCCTCGTTCCGACTGATGTCTGCCAGTGGAGCGTCGGGCTGTCGACGCCAGACCAGCCGAAACGGACCAGGGGGTCAGGACGAAGAGAACGATGAAGACGTCGATGTGGAGGCGAGAGAGCAGGAGGAAAGGAGGACGGAGAGAGTGACAACAGGGGGCGGCAGACGGTGCAAGCAAAGACAGATCGGCAGTGATCAGCCGCTTCTCAAACAGCGAGACTTGATGGCCGAAGGTTTTTCCGATCAAGTAACTGTTTTTAGAAGCTCAAGTGAAGAGATTTGTGGAGGAGGCCTCCAAGTCGCCAAAGAGAATGCCGAGCGGCACGCGAGTCTGATGCGTGAGATCTCGGGCGAGGGAAAACGGATGGTGCGAGTGGTGCAGGAGAAATCACAGAAGATAGTTCAGCTGACTCTGAGTGGGGGGGATCCTATGGGCGCTCCGAGCTTGTTTGAGGTGAGTCATTTTGTTGTTTTAAGGACTAATGGTTGAATTTCTCACTGAAATTAGTAGGTCTCATGATGCACTCGATTCACACTCAGTCTTGCCTCATAAGAGGTCATCCCATCCAACTTTTTGAAGGATCAAGTAAGTTAATTTCAACAGCATCATTTCATTGATGAGACTTAGAACATCAGAAGTGGGTTGACCTCGTTGTCGCAACTTGGTCTTGGGATAAGAGGGC